AACTGATATATATATATATATATATATATGGGAAATTATATACAGTATATATATATATAATATATATATATATAATATAAAATATAAAACCTACTTTAGTCAATACATTTGTGAATCCACTTCTCAAAAGAGTAAGTAATTAATAATTAAAACATATATATTAGTGAATGTGTGCGTGAATAATCCCATGGTGGGTATGGGAGAACGTGTGTGTAAAGTTTCCTGTGTTGTACAGCCTATAGTTGTTCCAGAGGTGATACGAACGTACGAACGTGTAGTTTATTGATAGGCCCAACATATTTGAATGTAGTTGTAGTGTACCTACCGGTTCATTATCATTATAATCATTCATCAATGGACATTTTTTAATTGTTAGGAAATACATTTACTTTAGTATCAGGATTTACATAACAATCACGTATTCCGGCGGTTTCAGAAAGTGAGTGAAGGTCGGTTATGACGGCCCCATGTTTTACAATAGAACGCCCTTCAGTCTAATGTTTAAAATAGATTTGTGCCCTTTGTCCTAAGTTAAGGACGCAGTCTATTTTGAACTTGGGGTCGGGCCCCCAGTTGGGGAGGAAAACTAAAGTTCGTCGGGACGACTCTAAAATCGATTAAATAAGCCCTTGAAATCTTAACCCCTAAATTGTCATATATTTCGAGGGTTTCGCCCCCGGACCACTTTCGAAAGTTTGGGCGACGCCCGACCACCCCCACTGTCCTCTCGTCGGAGACAATGCCCCCACCCCCGTCGGGCAAATCCTGATGAATGAGGCGAAAAAAAATTAAGAATATTAAACACATAGGGAATCGTCCTCTCAGATCTTCGACCTAATAATGATTTTCAAATTGTCTTTTGATCAATTTGACAATGTTTGAAAATTCAACACATAAAAACAGGGGAATCGTCGGTTTAGGGCAGTGGTTCCCCCAACATGCTTGTTTTCCGGACCCCTCGTGACATATTTAAAGTTTTCACGGACCCTCTGTGTCTAAGTATTACTCATTTGTCGATAGCAACAATTAAGATTGTATAGAAAGAAGATTGATTCGCCACAAAAGTACAATATTAAACAGTGGCGGATCTGGCTACCTCATCCCCAATACAAGCTGTCAAATGGATGAGTGGGGCTCAAGTACGAAATTTGTCTACGGCACTTATGGCCCGAAATGACACTGTCAGACACAAAATGTGAATGTAATTTTCGTTTATCTCCATTTATTTATGATTTTGTAAAATTTAGAGCCCCTCCTGACTCCGATTCCAAGGCACCTAATGATTAGCAATAATATGTTTATCACACTGTTGTAAGATAAGAAAAGTAATGGAATCATGAAAATTGGTCTCAAAATCTAAAGTGCGGACTCCATCCAACATTTTGAGGACCTGGCCTACGGACACTTTAGACCTGGACCCCAATTATTTTTCGCTGACACATAAAGGGTCCGCGGACCCAATGTTGGGTTGGGAACAACTGCATTTACCATCGAGCGGAGGCTTGGCTCTCAAATAATCAGTTTTTGTTCTTTGGCTAGGTTCACCATCGGAAAGCTACTCCTATTCAGTTATAGCCGATGATTCAGTTTCCAATATTCAGCATAGGCCTACTTACAGAGAGCGCTAGTCTTTATTTGGAAACGACACTAATACAACACACGTATGTAACAATTGCGTCCAAACTAAAGTAGGACTAATAAAAAAAAAAAATTAAAATCTAAGATTAACAACAAGTAGGGCCTACATCAAACTTTTAATTACCCCTCCCTCCATTTTCTCCAGAAATACAACAATGAGACCCAAATTATTATTATTATTATAAATATGAATGAAAATCGGTGGCCAAATACTCCATTTCATTGCATGCTTCAACTGAAATCCAATTTTATTGTGTTAAATTACAAATTTCTTTGTAAGAATATACTGTACTTGATAACTGTACAGATTTAAATATATTTGAACACATTTTTGATTTAGATAATTTCACTTTTAATTCTTTTTCTGTTAGAACTGTAAATACACATGTTGCAGACTCGTACAAGGTTGAGTGGGAAAACCAAATTAACCAAAAGCCTTCTCTAAAAAATTACTCAAAATTGAATCCACGCCAAGCCTCGAAACATATCTGCTTGATAAAACTTTATGGGGGCAAGTCTAAAATTTAAATTTAAGGACGAACACATTACCCCTTGATGGCAAGACCTGCAAATGGTCTAAAGAAATTACTGGTCAGTGTACCTTGTGCCAAAGTCATTTTTTATTTAACTGTAAATAATTTGATACAGTCAGAGAGGCAGAATTAGCTATCTTAAAACAAGACCTTAAACTTTGCATTGAGACTGCAACTTGGAATATTTTTTCCGAATCTAATATTGATGATAATATTCTTTTTGTTCTTGGGGGGGGGGGGGGGGAAAACATTTTTAAAAAA